TGTCGCATCTTTTTACACAGAATGCTTTCTATTTGCAAGGTCTAGAATGTCTATTGAAGCTAATTCAAGGATCGTCAAAGGTATCGCTTTTAATTTAGGGTTTGTAATACGTGGTTTAATTAGCGCGAACTCCTGAAAACGTGTTCGAGGTAAAATAATGTGAGCCGTTATTATCAATATTTTGATGTGAATTTACACTATATTAACGTATTGGAGGCAATGACGTTGATGAGATGCGTGCAGTTGCTGTGGGCCTTTGCATGTGGTCTTGAACCACATCAGGGCTGCTGAGTTGGATCTGGCCCGACTAGGCTACCCTGTTACCCACGACGAAGAAGAAGACCGTGGACAATGTGGACACAACCGTCCAATTCAGAGCTCAACCACGTTGGTGTCGTTGTGTCGTGGGTAGCATTTGGGTGTGTGTTTTTATACCTCAGATGTATGAGTCATCCATGCGCTAACATCGAGACCTGGGTGTGAGGATAACCCAGGAGAATCGTTCGCGCTAATAATGGAGGGAGTTTGGGATCCGCGGGGCTGCAAAATGTTGTGAAAAGTTAACCCTGTGTCGGAGGCTGGAGTGACCGGATTAACGCGATTCACAACACATTTAAGTTCAAAAGCAATTAGCTCCCTGCTAGTAAAACCCGTAGGTATTATAATGTTAGGGAAAGCTACCCTATGTAAGGCGTGTTAGTCTTTCACTTTTTTTTAACCACCTTTGCAAGCACTTACGCATATGTTGTAGAAAAAATTCAGCACACGTCGGTATAAGGTGCAGACTCTAGTCTGTGAACGTATTATACCAATTCCTGAAACGACTTTTAACCACAGAAATTCTATTTCTAAATGTGTCGTTCAAAAATCATGCAAACCATCGCCAAGTGCAACATGCGCACATATTAACTAGCACTCACAGGTATAAGAAAAATCTTTTTTGTAATGAAATGCGATTTAACATTGGTTGCGGTGTGTAATTAAAAGCCTGGCAAGATTGTATGCGGCAAAGGTCATTGTGATTTCGCATGAATGGTATTCTTGGATTTAATTTATCATGCGATATTTATATATTCCCTAGTGTAGCCTAAGTTATTTATTTACTTAAAAAAAATAGCTATGAAGTCCGTTTAATAACCAGAAATATCTCTGATTAGCCGATTGGGGCCACTTTCACACAATTTGCAGTACCCTATTTCCCAAGCTTTCCACTTCCCATGCTGACAAAGATAATTTGGCCGCCATCAAGCCACCGAATCACCTAAAATCAAATAGCTTTTTACAAGAATTTACAATGCCAAGTTGTGGAAATCTGTTCGGCGCACACACGCAACGCCAATGTCCTGACCATTTCGTTTGCTTAACGCTTTCGAAATCGTTTGCTCAGCCAAGAGAAAAAGAATCACGACAAAATTTGCGTTGGAAAATATGGGATTTATTCACCTTCTTGCTTTCATTAATAGGCCCCGTGACTTTCTGCTGTGTGTCGAACGGGTGAGGACGTTAACTTGGCTTCTTCTGGGAGCTACAATGCACACTGCCCTTACAAGAGATGCAACAGGGCTCACTTGCCGACCACTGCCCTTCACATTCGTAAATTCCGTTGCAGACCTCGTGAGGTTTCTGATATCTGGGTTTCCAGAACAGCAAAAGGTTCGCCTTAATGCAAAAGCATACGCAAAATGTCCTTTATTTTCGCATTAGATTGAGATCTAACAACTTTGGCTTTTCCAGGCCTAAGATGGGTACTTAATAAGCAATCACAACATGGGCCATCACAGGGTTAGTAAGAGTGTTTCTTAGTGGGTCCATTTTGCCTAGAAATTCTGGCAAATTTAATCCGTAAAACCAGTTTTGACATTGTCTCAGGATATTTCTGACCAGCACCAGTTATGCATCACTCGCAACACGCCTTATTCACAAATTGTCACCTAAGAGAGTTAACCACACACTTCCACTTCTCATAGAACATCACCGACTGTAATATCTTAATCGTGTTTAGATCAACTTTTAATATTGGAACTGTTAATGGTGTTTCGGCGATCGTTTGGGGTGCCTCACTGCGCTAACATTTAAGTAAAATCTTTTACACCTTTGAATTAGCAAAGCTCGAGGTGCAAAGTCGATTTTTTTTCTTTGTAATAATTACGGGGCATGCAGCGTACCTTGAGGCTACGGTTGTTTTTGTAAATTTGTGTTGCACTGGGGCGTAATTATATGTCACACGTTAATTATACTTGAAATATGTTGATACTTTTAATTTTATGATACGCATCACCCTCACACAACGTTTGTTCATTTTGCTGCATATTGGCATTTTGATGGAACAAGTGTTACCTCTCTTTTGACCACAAGGCAACTTAGCTTCGTTCCTAATGGGGGAATTTATTTTTAACCTGACAATAAATGTTTACTGTAACATCTTTTGTACAGGAAATTACTTAAAGCTATTTCAAACTGCCTTTTCCTAATTATCATCCTATAGTTAGTGGCTTCCATTTGTGTTAGCTAGTTTTAACTGCTAGACCATACATATTGTCTAATCCACCACCACTTCGCTTCGCATTTCATAATCCCTTGCATTAATGGCCAAACAGAAACATAGAATTACCGACTTAAAATAGGAGAACTGAGGCTGTCGCTTTAGTCATTAAAAGGATTAATTTTTTTTTCATTATTTCATTAGAACAGTTTAGTATTTACTTAGGGAATTTGAAGCTACAGATCAACGCTCACATTCTGATAAATTAAGCCTGTCCGACGTTTATTTACCTTAGTGCCTATACGCAAAACTCCTAACTCAAAAAAGATTGCAATTATAAAAAAACATTAACCTTGGGGTTGTGCTTACCCCACAAACCCCAATGCATCGAAGCCTAAATATATGTTGACGTCTTCTAAGATGAACACAACATTTTTGCAGAAAACCGGCACGCTATTCTGTGTACTTAACGTGGTACAACATTGAAGCAGGACACATAGATCATCCAACGTCATCTTATGAAGAGCCAATTCTATCCGAAGTCACCTAAAAGCTGTATGAATGTTTTGCCTTGGGCAAAAAAGTCACGCAATCGTGTCGAACTTAAATCGAAACGATGAAAGTAGGTTTACTAAATTGCGCTAATTTATAACTGACGCATTGGTTGATGTTTTCTGAGACACTATTAGAGGACTAGTGGCATTTTTTTAAAGTACTGAATCACTCGCATGATTTGAAATCGGCTTTTTCTATATGCATTAAGAAAGTATCAAATTCTAATGATTTATATCGGACAACCAGTTTTGTAAACTGGAATAACATCTCGCTACGTAGCTTTTCGTAAATCCAAAATTCGTCAACTGGTATTGCTGATACCCTTGATTTTGTGAAGTTTTTATTTTCGCTAAGGCCCTGACGAAACCGCCTTTTAATTATCTTGATTACTGGCCTATTTGGACCATGTCATTTAGTGATTTTTGTATGCTAGTTTATAAGAGTTGCCATGATGATAAATGCAACCATTGGACGTAATTTTGGCATAATTGGTGATTAAAAGATGGCAGTCAGTTTCCCTTCGTCACAAATCGTGACCTCTGTTTGTTGGTTTTCGGATGAAACAGGACAAATTTGAATACTTAGAGGCCTGAGCACTATATTCTAAAGCCGCGTACAGCAGTCAAACTGGAAAATGTCTTTTTAACATGAGCCTATAGGTATTCCTAGCACGCACAACGGAAATTTAGCAACCAGATTTTGCCAAAATTGGAGACGAACGTGATACTAACAGGTGTTTAGGGCATTTTACGTGAATCATATATTATTTATGCTCGTAGGCTGTTTGGTAGTGATTAGCCCAGGGAACCACCTAATTATCAGTTGATTGCTTGTTCTCTGCATAATTATTTCATGCGCATGTTCATCAATTTCATTAACTTTTCTAATTTTGGGTCGACATTTGGACTTAAATAGAATTTCGTGGGACTGCAAGGGTACTTAGAACCGTTTAAATATACATAAATAGTGATGATTGTGTGAAAGAAATGAAGTACTTTTTCCTGAGAGAATCTGTCAAGCGCTTCAATGCGGCAAGGCTTTGTTTACGCGGATGTAGTTCAATTGGTTTTTACCACCATATTCCTCTGTGCTTAGACTTATGTCCTAGATTATTTAATGCTCAAAATTCTGTAAATGAAATTATCTCCAAATCAAGGCTTCGTGACCCACACAAGTTAAAATCATTGCCTCAGGCCGATTTGCAATTTTTCAACTATCAAAGGATAACATCTGAAATCCGCCAAATTTTGTTTGTATGCTGTGACCTTTGGAATTGCAGTTTTCCAGTAAATTAATTCTTGCCCCGTACTTAATACTAAACCGTTACTATGGCGACCGTTGTTGCTTTGCATTCAGAACTAACGAAATGCTATAAAACAAACATTTTTAAATGTGTTCCATGTCCACTAGGGCATGAACAAAGTACATGGGGTAAAAGTATCTGCTTCCTATTTTTTAGATATTTCGGAGAAAATTCGACTTATTTGAACAAGAATATATTTATGTTAAAGCTTATAAGCATTTATGTGGTTGACTTAGCCATTACAACTTCAAAGAAACATTTATTATGCGAGGGAGGTTTTTGCCATGACCTTCGATTTCAGGAAGTAGAACCTCACTAAGACTTTGTGCGACACCACCACCATCACTGTTTTTTGCATTTTCTTAATTGCAACTAATACTGGGTTTGTAAATTCCAATTTGAGAAACTAGAAACTAGATTTACTTTGGCGATAGGCTTTATTATTAAATTGATGGAAAATGAGACTTGTTCTTAACTCTGTAAAATTGTTCGTGTGCAACTGATATGCAAAATTGACTCAGCAGATTGAAAAATAAGTTGACTTCGTAAAGAAATTACGTTGTTATAGGAACTGCGGGCTACTGTAAGCTGTTTGTATACCGTGGTTATTACAACGGCCATGGACCCACGCATCCACGTTCAACTGCTTGCATTGCGTGTCGTCCTTAATTTACTAACTGTAAGACGTGGTGATAGATTTTTAGAAAGGCGATCGCTCAACTTATTCTGGTGCTAAGAAGCTAAAAATTAAAGTATGGAAGCATTATTTTCTGATCAGTTTTTTAAATCTGAAGTAGATAACGCTGCTCATCGTAGGCTATTTAAATGCTTTTCATGCACATCATGGAGATCATTAACTTAACTAGTAAATGCACTTATTAGCTAATATTTATGTATTTAAGACGGATCCGATTTATTTAAACAAATGGCCTCATCAGTGAATTGATGCTAGCTTGCAATAGCCTGTTACTACTGAACCTTATTAATGTATTGAACAAACATACAATCAGCGTTTTTTTCATAACTTGGCTATAAAATTAAGTGCTAACGGATTTAATAATTTAATGTATTTTTAATTTAAGCAAAAAAATTAAACGCATCAAAATGCACCACTGAACAACTAGAAAAGTGTTGTGAAAAAAGGTGCTCACATTACAAGGTCTGGGTGTGAAGTTTTTCCTTAACACGCTTGCCTCCTCTGCATTCCTCTTAAGGTGAGATTTCATTGGCAGGCCTTCCAAGTGCATTAAAACCGGCTTTTTGTATTTGTATTGTCGCAAATCGTTAAATTGTTTTCTTTTTTAATAGCTTCAGTCTGTTGCTGTTATGTCGTCGTTGTATCACGCCTTCCTACTCTGCCAGGTAAGTTGGCCCTAGCGATTTTTATTTCCAAGTCTAACCTTTAAGCTACTTGTTTCGCCAAATACAAGATAAGCCAACCAAACGACACTTATTGCCTTTGAAACGCATAATTGTAGATCACCATTTTTAAAATTTTCTGTCCTACCAAGTGCCTATTTCATTATATACATAATATTTTTTCATTTGCAAACGTTTCCGCATGTTTTAATGATTTTAGCAGTTGTTGACAAAATGAGATGCGGCTGTTTTTCATAAGAAAGTGTGGTGTTTTGAGGACTGAGGCAATAAATATACCTGGCCTTGTAAAGTGTTATTCACCTGTGTGGCTGTAAGCGAACACCTAAGTAGACAAATAAGTATTATCTCGTGGCAGGTGCGGAAACGCACATCCGTTAGTTCTTGAACGGCCGATTTCTGTTTATCCATTCCACTGGGCTTAACCTTTACGCGCACTCGTTAACAACACGGGTGTTCTTCCATTGCTAAAAGAACTTGGCGTCAAGCCAAAATGTACCCATCGGGGAACCAAACATTGTCTGCAGATTTGATAATCTTGACAGGACACATCATAAAGTACCTAAGGAAGAAATAAGACTGAAATGATGGATACTCAGTCGAGGTTTGCGTCATCGAGATAGCAGACATCAAGCGTAAAAAGGCGTCAGTTTGTATTGGAATGCCTAACCTTGAAGCCTTTAAGCAGACGTTGCTGCTTGACGTATGCATTAAATTCGAACTAATCTACTACGGTAAAGAATATCTGCATTCTGTTTCGCACATGGAATATTGACGATTGCACTCTGAGGCTTCGTAAATGTAGCAGTCTCTAACTTTTATGCTCGTAGGTTTGGACGGTGTATTGCGAAGCTTCTGGAAGTTTGCATCCCGTCAGTTCTAATGCCTACCTTGCCGCAAACGCTACAGCCATGGAATTTTGGTTGAAGGTTGCACCAACAATTACCCACTTGCTCTCAGTCTCCGACGATGTGAGTCCTTCTTCCTCTTTACCGACTCTTCTACCAGGCGTCAAAATATTTTTTTGAGTTCTTTGTTCTTTCGGCTAGGTTGTGCATGTGTTTTATGAGCGTCTGTTTTAACAACCTTGTCTGATAACACATTTTCGAAAGAAATACTGTAAAATTTTGGTTAAGGTTACTTGTAGCGTGTAATTTTGACGAATAGGCATTTCAAATTTACAAATTGTTTAAAAGGAAATACAGATTTCTTTCCATGTTTGTGTTTAGGCAACAGCAATTAATGGCCATCTGCTAACGGTGCTGGAAGAATTGATGGAGTGCCGATCTATCATTGTCAACAAGGTACAGTTCCGCAGGAGTGCATGAGGGCATTATTTCACGAACTGTGACTGTAAGATCTACAAAGTGCGCTTCCGGTTCTTGTATGTGTAGTTATAACCTCAAAATCACAGCTAACTGATGAGATCAGATCCATGAAGCTACGACACCACGGCACTTTATAATTATCAGTCAAAACACAATTTTGCAAGACAGAAATACCCGTGAATTCTGCTGTGGAAGTGACCTGTTTTTCCCTTGTGGCATCTAGTTGTCATTCGACTGCTACTTTTGCAAAAAAACCGTTTTAGCCACATGGACGACGCCTTATTACAGGCAGTGTTTTCGAGTTTTTTTGTGTCTTAGACAATGAAAATGAACGTAATGGATGCGACAAGCGTCTTTATTTAAATCCCAGCAGATGACCTGACCAGCCAGACAGCACCAATTAATTAGTAAACAAAAAACGTTTTCCTGTAAAATGTATTATATCATTAATAGAACAGCAAGTAAAGTTAAATTAATTTTGACTCTAAATATCTGTTGATTAAACTGTTGCTTATTGATTAGGATTGCCAGAGTAATAGTCTACAACCCACGTAAGGTCATCAGTTCTTCTTTATGAGAAAATCAATAAACTGTAATGTTATGATTAAGGAAAATTCAACAGCAATTATGGATTGGCCATTCAGGAAGAAGGCACAGCAGGGACGGATTTTAAAAAAAAAAACTATTTTTGGCAGAATCCGTAAAGTTACTTCATAATAGACTTGATGCAACGTCTCTCGTTTACGGTAGTATATGACTTCCCAAGCTGACTTACATGGTTTTTTTCTAATTAATTATTGTCCCTTGCAAAACATATCTTAGGGCACATTCTTAAAAAAAACTTCAAACGATGGCACTTCTTCCAGCAAAAAATGTTCGATGTACTTATGCGAAAATATGGGTTATATTTCAATGTAATATATTTTTAGTAAACACATTATTCAGCAATAATTTCATTTAAAGCGTGTTTACATTTAATTTTCATGTTTTAAGATTATATGCATAGTTCTGTGTTTTAATTTTCTTGTTTTAATTACTGTGTGCTAAACATAATTACAGAGATGGACTGAATTGCGTCTTTTTAATTAAATGCTTTTGAAGCATTTCTAATCGACACTGATCATTCGAAATTTTTCAAAAAAAGTAGTGTTCATGTCTTATAGTTTCCTGACTACTGTAATAGTGTTAGGTCTTGTCAGAAAAGCAAATAGAGCTCACATTTACTTTTTAAAAATTGATGCGTTGTCTAGAGGTGCAAACGACATCAGCAATTCAGGCCCTTACGTTATCCAGCAGGCATAGTTTGAATCAAATAAGTACAATATATGTTTTAATTTAAACAAATTTTATCCCCATCACGTATAAACTAAATTATTTAGAATGTCAAATCAAGAACGTGACAGTGCGTGCTGCGGAAAATCTGTCATTTAATTACCAATTTAATGCCAAAAGCATTAAAGATTTACCTGATTTGCATTCCTCTTACTTAGAAATCCCGGTAGTCAAGCCAGCTCACCTGGTTAGGCATGCGTTTTTTTCGCCAAAGTGTACCGTGAGCAACGTGTCAAATACACTAATGCAACCACTTTATTATCCACATCTGACGTGAACCAGTGGCTAATGCATTAGTTGAGTTTCCTCCAACTTTTCGGTCAATAATTATTTAAACCGCTAGGCAAGGTTGTGTAAATGTGTGAAATTTTTGTCGTCACTTTTACTTAAAATCTGAGGTGCTTTTTTGCCTACCCTTAAACCGAATTTTTTCACTAAATATGTAATTTTCATCATGCCCAATTTGTGATATTAATACCACACATTGAATAACTCTTTGTTTACATTTTAAAGCAGAAATGTCTGTATCAATCCAAATGAATTTAATGCATAATTACGGTTTAAGATCTACTTGAGGTACTCTGATGAAATATGCACGTTTTTACGCGTTTCCACATCATTTACTCTAAAAACCGTTTTAAAAAATTTGTTTTTTAGCTCATTACAATGTGGGTCCCTATTCTGACGGGGAAACAGAAGCAGGTAAATTTATGTTTAAGCAAAGCAGCTGTGATTTATAAAAATTGACTTTTTTTCCTTTTTTTAATTATCAAAATGCAGACACAGTTGACTTCTAAGTGTTTTTTTAAGTAATTTGGAAATTTGCAAACTAAGAGCTATGTATTAAACCAGAGGAGTTAGGTCCACTTTCAGACTATGCGGATAATTATTTCGACTGGTGTCTGAACTTCGGCTTTCCTTGCCAAATAGCTCACTAAAGGCCGTGAAATTGTTTAGCTTAGGCACTAAAATAACATCGTCTCGTAAAAGACTTGGATTTGCGGGTCATTGTAGCAGCACGCCGATCGTTATGAGCCTTCTAACCTTAGCCACAGTAACAAACAACTGAACATTAAGCTCCGTTATTTTCTACCGTCGCTTGATCTGAGCTACAGCATACTTGTAAGTTTCTCTAAATCCCTGGGTGGCAATTTAGTACTGGAGCAATTCTTGGAAGGAACACTAGCATGCAAACCGATCTGGGTATACAAGTGTTGTTAGCGGGGCGAATTTCGCGCACAATAACAACTGTTTGGGGACTGCGCAACAGGCGGTTCATGTGTAAAAAAGTTTCGTTGTGTTAATTTCCTACTTTTATTCCTGAAATGTCTCCTTTTTGCATCAGCTGCCGCCTCGTGTTCGCTCCTCATTTATACCTACATCATTTTACAAATGATGACATCATTCACCTAGCCTTGTTCAGTTATCCTGTCATGTATTCAATGCAGATGACCTGGGTTACAAAAACGGCGTTATCTTCTGCAGGCATATCTTAGTTGCAAATTGAAAAAAAAGAAAAGGATTGACTTATTAACAGGGCTTTATTGAATATTCTTACATCAAGTAGTTCTGCCCAGTTCTGTAGATTCAGTCAAATTCTATTTTTAAAAATTCAAATTTGAAAGAGACCGTACTCGTAAGGCTCAATCCGCTTTTCGCATTTACTTGTTTCAGTTACCCGGAAATGTACTGAAGCGCCTGCAAAAGTGTATTGAGTGGGAACCCCCAGAGCCTGAAGGTCGCCTTCACGTTCTGATGAGGTCGGTTAGCCCTTTGCAGGAGAAAGGCGCAAAACGGAACTTGGCCAATGACACCTCAGCGTACCTATCGTCAACCGGTAACGTGGATGTCAACTTGTGTTCAGCAAACAGCTTGAACGGGTGCACCAACAAGGAGGGTCCATGCGCGGGTCACTCATTGGCCCCCGGGATGCCCACCGTAGCTGGACCTGATTCCACGCCCACGCGAACAGACGCAGCCTTTTCAGAGGGCTGCGGATGTGCCGGAGTGGGTCATGCTGGTTTCCTCTCTAATCGACTTGTTCGGTGGTTGAGGAAGCAGATTTTTGTTCTTGGTCGAAATGAGGACCAGCATTCAACAGCCACGCACATTTTTATTCACTAGATATCATTCATTGTGATGCTTTGGCACCTGCAAATTGAGCAACCAGTGACAATGCAATTGGAGCAATCGTCGCTTTCACTCTGGATTTTTTACGCAACTAGTACGCCTTTGAGTTCGTCACAAATGCTTACCGCCTGATAGATTGCGAGGGAAAAAAGAATTTTGTTTCCTCTGATTGGCGGGCCGTAAATTGTAATACAAACTGTTAGCAGGAGGATTGGTCCTTTAGGTGTAGAATTATGAAGCTAAAATACCACAGTATCCTTATTTTTTTGAAAAACATGTGGTCAACAGTGTCTTTACAGGCATTCACTTGTTTAAATCGCTGCTCACATGTGAAAAGTTTTCTGTAAGGGGAATTTAACTCAGCCTGAAAAAAAATGATATTGGCTTCGGGGTAAGGCTTTTCGATGTCATAACTACTGTCAGCATTTTAAATTCCCGAAATATTATATCTTAAGTTGGAATAGCTGACCCGCTTCATTCATAGCTTGCATAGCTATGGGTGGCAGCCTGCTTGCATTGCAATTGATGGTAAATTGCGTTATATTTGTGCTCATGTCGGCTGATGGCCTAAGAGTCTTCAGGTAGTGCGCTGGTGTTAGGTGGTAGGGTTGTTGATCACGGTTATATCGACAATCGCATTTTGGTTGCCATTCTGGAATTGAAACGGTCAGAAAGACGTTTTACGTCTGGACGTTAAGGTGGGTAAAATAAAAAATGGAGCAGAGAACTTGGGCAAAATGGAATGTGTAAGGAAGGATTTTGTAGAATGTAGAGAAGTCTGTGAGCTTGAAATTTTTCTAATCCATATGACACTAGGCAGTTAAGAGGACTCCTGATGGCATTGAGTTGCGCAAACAATGGTTTCATCTAACCCTAAATCGTACTGCAGCACTGGCCTCTAACGTGCGTACAGATGGGTTTCAACGAATAGTGGGTTGGATCCACTTCCAGGTAATCATTCTCTATTCAGCGACGCTGCAAAATTCGAGCAAACAGGATTATTGGAAATCCCACATTGTCTAGGAGGTGTTCACTTTCAAACAACGCATTAAATTACGTTCTCTCAAGACTTACATGAGCCTTAAGGGAGAGGCTGCCACAGATAACGCTTAGTTGGACCGATTTATTGCAACGGCAATAGCGTGGTCGTACAGGGTAACAACAAAGTCGTCAGCATGTATGGGATTGGTAAATATCCATTTTTGAAGTAACAGAGCTATGTGAAGTGGACTCAAAATTATCGATTAAATCCGTGGTCGCTCACGCCTGCTAACAATGTTCGCTTGCTGATCCCCACAACGACAAGCAAAAGTAAAAGTACTTAAATAATTGTCAAATTTGTAGTCCATTTAGGCGAAGATGAACTCCTGATCAATTATTTGACCAATTATGAAACAGAAATAAGCTACTTTTAGAAAAATTCGTAACCTCTTAACTAAAGAGTGTGTAAAATAAAATGTCAGTTTGACTTAGAGATGGCATGACTACTTAACCAAACGGCTCTTTGCTGATCACCAAAACACCTCAATTTTCCATGTTATCAACTTTTACAAATCAAGCAGACGCGATTAAACATTAACGAATTAGCTTTGTCAGATTGTGTGATCTGTAGTAACACTCCAGGATTAATTAAATTCATTTCCTTATGAATGACTTTGCAATGCAGCTGAAAGGTAAACTTGCAACTGGCACGATCCAGATTTCCATTTGCACACACAGAGCTGTAACTTAGACCTTGCAACATTAATCAGAAAATGTCCCAAGATTTGTTTTTTTTTCCAAATTTATGTTGAAAACGTCATCTAGAGATACATTCTTTAATAAAACAATCATTTTTTCAACTTAAAAATCACAGTGCATTTTTCGGCTATGCACTTAACTGTAACTAAGTTTTAGTCAGAATCAAATTAGTCACAGTGATTTGTATGCATTCGCTTGAAATGTACAGGCAGCTAAATCCATCTGTCAAAATTGTCATTTGCTTCGTGCAAGATGTGGTTCAGGATTAAAGATTCCACATTTGTAATTTAACAATGATGGGGAAGCACATCATTAATTTGAACGTAAGAATGTACCTTCCTCAGCACAACGATTCTGTTATGCAAGACTTTGGACCTAGAGTGAAATCCATACGTTTTTAAGTGTGTAAAATTCAACTGAATTGTTAGCTAACGAGAAATGAGGCCATTCTTTTCAACTTATGGGTTGACAGTAGATTACGAAAGAGCCGATTGATAGTAACTTTATAATAAGGTGCGGACAAAGAATTGGCGAAGAGTACTGTGATTAAGTGTGTTATAATTTTGTGGTTTGCGACTGTATCTTTGAAGTGATTTGTTCGTTCAGTCCACAAATCCGAGCAGCGACACAGTGTTTAAGTTGGAATGAGTGCTAGCATCAAGATCGTGAGAAGCATTTTTTTCTTTGTCTTCCACTGTCGAGCATTAAACGAGTCAAATTTCATCGAAGTCAACACATTTTGGGAATACTAGCGAACCCAAATTAACAGCGAAATGGGTATCAAACTGGCAGTAAGTTCTTTGTAAAGTTATGAATGAATGTTTAGTAATGAAAAACAAGTACCTGTCAAGGCTTGAGGTCAATGAAATTTCGAACCGCCAGCTCACAACGTATCAAATTTTCTCGTTTAAAATTAAACCACTTAATTTTGGTTGGATGACATTAAAAAATGGAACTTAGGATTGGCTCAACTTTAGCTCACAAGCAAAGTGATTCCAGTCAGGTCCATTAACATCTAGGCTTCCCAAAAAGCATGGGTAACATTCCCAAAGAGTTAGTGTGCAGTGCACTGTTTGACCGTTTGACCGGCCGTTTTGAAGTCGTTAAACCAAAACAATATGAGTAGAATATGGTCGGCTTTGTTGCGGTGCTATATGCCACTAATTACCCAACAAGCACGGAGTCTGCGGGGAGACCGATTCAATCGTTTATTCGAGAACTTGATAAGGTCGTCGTCGTGTGTGTGTGGCGTGTATTTATAGTTTAGATGTATGCGTCAGGGCTAGGATAACAGGTGTGGGATAAAGTAGAATAATCGTTTGCGCCAATGAGAGGGGAGTTGAGGATCCTCGCGGCTGACGACATGCTGCGAAAAGGGGGACCTTGTGTCGGTGGCTGGAGTGATCCTTTGACCACCCGTTTTGAAGTTATTAAACCGAATAATTCGAGTAGAAACTGGTCACCTTCATCACCGATGTAGTTTCGTCATAATTTTTGAACGTAATTCAGACGCAATTGTATGGACCCGGTTTTGGGAAATTTTACTTTTTTCTGATTTTGTAATAAATCTGCTCGGTAGCATATTGCTTGCCAGACAATGATCCCAATTTCAAAATTACCAATTTGTACGTTGTCACCTACTCTGGTAGCCTACTTTTCATCAAAATGTGTGGGCAAAAATTGATTCATTTTACAAAAACTGATTATTTAACATTTTTTTTAGGAGAAAAGTGAATTTTACGAAATGAAAACGAAATCCTTAAATAAACTCAATTATCCGAGGCCCGTTTGAACACCATTTGGTGCGCCTCAGGCATGTAGGCTAGCGATTTCTTAATCACTAAATGCAGACACACAGAAATGTGGTGAATTGTCTCAGCTATCGCAATTTTCACCTTGAGCACTATAGCCCCATTTATGTTGAATCTTGTGCCTTTTGAATGCTAAACAAAGAAGACGTTCACTCCCAAATGCAAGTTACCGTGATCTTGTTTATTTTGCATCTTTGTTTTTTGCATGCACGCTGCCAAATGGTGGCTTGCGTGTTTTGATTGCACTCCCACGGCTTATTTTAAATTAAGTGGCTATCAGAACACGCTTTTCATCATTAAAAGTGATCAGTTCCGAAATCAAAATCAACTTGAAAGATTGCCATAGCTCATGCGGTCACATAGTTGTGGGATGATCATTTTAGAGGTACAAATTTCATCAAGTAGAATCTGTACGACATAATCAACCCCTGGCACGGTAACCTATTCACACTAACGTGTCAGCATAACTGGCATCATACGGCCCAATTTAAGTAGTAACCATTGGTATGTCATAGTAGCATATTAGAGCCCTGAAAAGTCACAGCCACTTTAAACATATTTCATTAAAATTCTTGTATTGAATAAGTCAATTCCGAGGCAAGTTAGTACTTCTATATCTCGACTTTTAACAAGATCTTTTACAAGCACCACGGCCAGGATTAAGTGGCTGTGAGTATCAAAGTCACATATTACTGCATAAGATGCTTACTGTGGTTGGTTATTCGCAAATCATTGTGTTGGACAATTCAATGGGCCTCATACGTGAAGATGCTTTTCCATGTAGGTGGATGATGGTTAAACTGAGGCTTATGTAAGTGTGTTTTGCGTTATGAAAGAATGATGCACACGGGAATGGCACTTTATTAGCCTAGCGGGCTTGTCCAACTAAAGCAGCCGCATAAATGTCAGTAAAAAGTAAACACTAGATGATGTGAGCCTGCTTTAACTTTGTAAGCCAAAATATTTTGATTGATTTATGCAGGCGGATTTCGCATTTTCGACGCTCGCGCCTATTGGCTCTCACAAGGTAAATAAAAGTTGCTGGAAAGGCCAAGTGACTCATTTGGAATCTGTCCCTTTGATGATTGAACAGCCTAAACCTTTGGGGTGGCAGTGCGAGCTGTCGAAAAAAGCCGCGTTTTTACTTCATGCTTATCTTTCGGTAAAAAAGAAATGACGAAGCGTAAGAAGAAATGGTATGCATTTTAGGCTGTAAACAACTGTTGTTCTTGCTTCATGTTTACGCTCGGTATTATGTGAGAAGCGAGTCAATCAATAGCCACCTGTGAAAATTTACTTTACATTTTATAGGAATTCCTACTTGCACCAAACTTTCAAATTTTTCTGCAGTCCTAATGGCGTCATTTTGTGTACTTACGGTTGTCGCTAGTTGTAAATGCCAATCAGGTCTACTTGGAATAAGTATTGAGACAATTTGTCGTGTTAAAGTGTTATTCGCCTCATCAATTGAGAAATTTCTGACCACTTCAAAGGATACTACACAGAAATAATATTACGCCAAATGATATTATAAGCGGTGTTGGTGGTAAAACGTCATAATGTAACCTAATCACTCCAGAATACGCTGACAAAACGATCTAGAATTCGTTCATCGGTTATAATTTAAAAAAATCTTCGATTTGTCTCATCGATATCCAAAACAAAGATATGCTTAGTTACAGGACTTTTATCAAATAATACTGTAAACTTTTTTGCCAGCATTGCAAGAATCAATATATCCTTTCAGTAGTATCACAAAATAGCTACTATTAATCTCCAGTTTGTTTAGTCACTTGTTAATAAAATTAAATTCTTTAAAGCAACCCCACATACTTGATCTGGGCTTTTTAGAGGCCCAAGTGTATTAACGTAAGCGGATGTGCGGTAAGGCAAAAGGCAACTCTTCTTCGTTGAAATTCAAAACGACTTAGGAAAAGCGATAGCAGGAAGACGGCTGAACGAGGTGTACGTGGGCGTGTTAAATCGAGCACCCGTGAGCAGAGTCCAATGAAAGTTAGGGGTGAATCACAAAAACCAATCAAGTTGCGGTAATTGCCTTCGGAAAGGTTTCCCTAAACCACCCACCGATAATGAACTCCACGTGGATGTCCACTGACACCTCCGCTGATGCATTTTGACCAGAATGCTTAGTTCCATTCGTGTGTCTATTTAAAATTCGTTCGACAGTTCGGTATTTCCCGAGCAAATGTGCCAGCCTCCTGTCAACCAGACTGTTGATCATCGTCTGCCAGTGAAGACCGTTACCTACCGCAGTACTCACATGGTGCATAGCAAATGTAGAGCTGGTCGCTGTACATTCCGCAGGACACGCAAAATGCCCACAGTGAATAAAAAAGTTTAAGGTAAATATTTTATGGCGACACGCAGACATGACGGCTAAAGGGGACAGGGACTTAAAGGAAAATCCCTTAACTAACAGACAACGTTGGCAAATATATGTAAACATCTTGATTTATTTAATTCCATTAAGCCGGAAAGGCCATCACAAGAATGACACTCATAAATGTGAAATTCGTTTATCAGGAAAGAGCATTTACTCCGTCCTTCCATGGCAGTTGTTAGTGGCCAATTAGAATTTGCTGGTTGTATTTCCAAACACCAATCGTGTTAATTTGCGCACTTTAATTGTAATAATTAGAAAAACGTTTCTTTATTTTTGATATTAATAACCACCAGATATTTTTGCAGGCACCAAGTTTGACTCAGAAATCCAGGCAACAATTTGAGGCATTAAGTAAAACGAATGTGTTTGAAGAAATGTCTGTGATAGCTAATTTAATGAAGAAATTTCCAAAGATGAATAAATATTACTTACAGTGTGCTCAAACGGGTATCGTTCACTTAGATTATAAAGACATTTTTCGATTAATTGGTAGATTAATGGGTTTGCTTCACCGGATGTTTACGATAATCATCTTTAACTCATTGTGAACTGTCTGGCTGTTTAAAATGCAGGAACGCTAAGCTTAATGTGGTAGAACTTTTAAAGTGCTCTGAAAAAAATTCACAAATTCATAGTTATGCGTGTGTGACTGCTTCTTGAAAAGGCTTGATTTTGTGGTCTATTATAACAACATAACTTCACTTTGGACTGTAGCTTCGATCACGGTTAAATTAAAATTAATATAACCGGGGGTCCAGCTTTCTCCAGGTCGGACCATCACTGTTTACAATTTCGGCATTGTTCAGACGATTCCTCTGACCACTCCGATTGAGCGGATGAGTCACCACGGCAACCTACAGACAGCACATATCTGTGTTAATCCGCTTTGATCCGTCAGGTTAGGGTAACCTTTGGTTTACATAAGTGCGACATTCAAAAGTTGTCTGCAGGTGGTCTTGTCTTGTCTTACATTACTGTGGGAAGGTGGCATCTGGGATCTGAGGTGCCTGTTATCTAAATGTGGTTTTGGTTAGGAACGTAACGCAGCACTACCTAAGTTGATAGTTTGAGAATTATTACAAGTCAGATGAAGGGTTTCCCATTTTAAACGAAGCATAGTGAAGCACAATCGCACGTAGCCCATAACCGATTTGAAAATGGTCAAGTAAAACCGTAAAATCGCATTTTCAATCAAAAAATATGGAATAATAGGTACTTAAGCTGCACTTGTGACAATTTCCAAACCTTCCAAAAATGTCACCTTTGAATTCCAAAAAGTATTTTAACGTCACACTCAGCTCACCTGCTTCCACTAATGCAAATACACGTGAGTATTTATAACAATGGATATTAATAAAATTTGTGTAAATTAGGGCAAAAGATCATATTTATTTATTTAAAATCTGACAGCTCTTGCTAACTTAGGGATTTATTATTGGGCTACACCTTGTCAGCTTTCTTTTCTGCATAAACAAATTTGCTTAATTAACTCATAACCAGAGCTTTCACGTGTGTCATTTCAAATTATGGCTTGAGCTCTCATTTTAATATGTGGAATAATAATGCTTTGAGAAATGACTTACTACTTCGCGCAAAGCATAGCAATTTAGCCGGCAGTGTTTACACTCAGATGCTACAACAAGGCTTTGCGGCTATATCTCATCGCGGAAAAAGGTCAGCATTGAAAATATAGAAGTACACATTTTAATTACTTTTAGTGAACCTTGTGAAAATTGCGAATTCGAGCAGTGAAAAAGGTATGTACATCTTCTCGAAAGTTGGGATTCATAAAACAGTAGATAATCGGGTTGATGGCATTATTGACATAGTACATGTAGAAGATAGGCAGGTAGATGTCAATAACGCCAATGGCCATGAGCATAGCTGGAATGAGGGCGATTATGTAGACAAGAGCCACAACAAACAGCATTCCAGCCGTCTTCATGTTCTGCAGCACGGCATTCCCCTTCAACCCACGCAACGATATTCGTCGACTCTGCTGCCCCTCTGGCTTGCTCGTTGCTGAGCTCCGTTTTTTGTGTTTCTTTTTAAACGAAAATGCCCCCTTTTCCGGCACCGGCCTGATGGACTTTGATTCGTCCAAGATGTCAACTGACGTCTGCTTTTTTTCATTCGACTTCAGCCGATTTTTCCAGATCTCCGAGACCACATTCTGTTCTAGAAGCTCGTTGTGCTCTTCAGCTTGTTGTTTCATGGAATTGGTGGCTTGAACATTTGAATGTGAAATGCCCGACAGGGGCTCCACTGGGTTGCTTTCTATTTTGGGCTTGTTAGGACTGCCGCTGTCAGAGAAAGGGGTCTGGATTCGCAGTTTATTTCCTATCAACCGCGTTCTACGTTGTCGCATCTAAAACAAAAACCAGTGCAAAATCATGACGTTTATGGCAGAAAACGAAATCCCTTTTCCAACTTATCACATGCTTTTGTTAATTTGCTTTTAGTGCTTCAGATGTGAAAGTTGTGGAAGGTTTGGAAATCACCACTGGCACATCTTCAGTACCTACAGTGGCATCCATTTTTTTTATTAAAAACTGCTGTTTTATTTGACTAATTTACTGCCGTGAGCTTCCACTTAAGCCACTCCATGGAATTCAAACTTAGAAGAGAAAGAATCAGGGAAATTTGTCATTTAACATGTGCAAGGAAAGTAGATTGCTTCTTGGGTTTCAGCATGACAGAAAATTAAACGATGTGTACCGTGAAAAGGAGGCATAAATTGAAAAGTGAAGTTGAGTGTAGTGTATGGTTTTAGCCTAATATCACAGCTAACTAGAGTAATTGTGCAGGAATCTGATTCGTGTTTCTGCAAACACCAGAGGTAAGTCACGAATGAAAGTTCTGGAAAAGTCGATTCGCTGTCCTTTGTTTTTCTTATTCCGACAATGATTTGCAAAACGTAGAGTCAGTTTTCCTTGCCTGAACTGTAGAAGCGCACAAATTGTCTTGCTGCCAAAGCAAATATTCTTAAAATAGTCTGCGACTTTTGACTTTCCAAACACTAACTGAATACACATACTACTAGCTTTAAATTTAGTTAGTTAGTGTACAGTCAAATGTGGCAAATCATTATGTAATTAAAAATTGGCTGGAAACCTCGTACTGGGTCACTAAAGAGTATCTAGAGGTGACTTCTGATCTAAAGGCTATGTGATATCGCGTTACCCTTAGTGCATCTGTTAGCCTAATTATTATTCCATTGCACTTTGCCACTTTCAAATCATTCATAAAATGGAGGGGTTTTCCAAGCATTCAAAAACGGCCCAGCTTAAAAGAAAGTTATGCACTCCATGGTATAAGGGTTTGCCTCAAGGTGTCCTATCATTTTATTTTATTCGCCTGCATTGCTTTGCTCAGTATTTTAGCAATAAAATTTAAATTTGCAACTAAAAACCCAGGTCTTCAAATATTATAACCAATTTTAAACCAGATAAATAACTATATACTGGAAAAAAAGTTTAAGATTTTCCTTAACATAATGTGATTTTTTTATTTTTCTGAAATTACCAATTGTAATTATGCATTGTTGCATGGTCAAATTACTGTGTCAAAAAATATGCACGAATTTTCAATTTACTGCTTGTTCTGTGCCCAGCATTTTAAGTCTTTGATTGAATAGAAGTAAAATATATTTTTACACGAATTTGGCTATTTATGGATGATGAATTTGCATATTTGTGTGGTGGTTCATGTGTGCCTCGTACGCAGATGCAGGAAAAATTAATGATATTTATCATTTATAATGTGGCGGTTGTGTATTTTCGGGAACACTAAGAGCTCACTAAGGCCAGAACGAACAGGCCTGATGCCTGAGACTTTGAAAAATTTTCCCGAGACCTATTTTGTCAACCCGACGTGACCTCGCACAACCCCTTACCCAAGGGAGTAATGGGGTGTAAACTTTTTCACCTTGCATCCCCAAAAATGGGTGCTATAACAAAATGCGATCAGGTGTCTTGCTTTTTATCAGAAAATATAAAAATAAGTTTGCTCGTGTTTAAAAACTAATGATGATCCTAAAAATCGATATTTTTGTTAAAAATTTACGCTAGTTCTGAAAACAAAAGCAAATAATTTACCAGACTTACTTTCTGCGTATTATAACTATCTGTTGTGAGTCCATTGTTTAACAGTTAAACAAAAATTTATCCTGATAAGTAAGTTTAAACAAAGGATGGCTGTTAATTTTGTTTAATTGACTTATCACGGGGTAGGCCGCATGGAATCTGCGTGATCAACTCTCGTGGGCAAGGCTTTTTAATGCTAGGGGTAGGTTTGTCGTCAAAGTATCAGAAAATTGCATTCGGGAATGCGTCGGCTCCGCTGACCTGATATTTGGACAACCTCGCATCAATCAAAGACACGATTGTTGGCCAGAACTGCGTTCTTAGAATTAAGTTCCTTTAGGCTGCTCTTACCCTGGTCGTGTATTAGTTCTTCTGAGAAAAATTGGAGCGAATTTCAAAATCATGATTGCTCTAAGTCAAAGGGTAAGATAAGTAGGAAGGGCATTGCATACTGATGATAAAAAAAATTCGAGTCATTTCAAGTCTTGGAAGTGCGTGTGGTGAAAATAAGGTCTATTCTTATAAACCTGCACGATAAATTATGAATGCATATCATATGTTATTTACTTTTAAATACCACAATGATAAGGCAACTAAGGTATTAACACGCACATTACTAGGCACAACTTACAATGAGAACAGTTCGGAAAATGAGCACGTAAAGGATCACCACTGAGAGGATGCAAAGCACATAGCTAGAGATCTGACTGCCCTGGACAACATGGTAGATTGCCTTTTGAGCCTCAGTAGTATTCAACATTCGGGTTTCCGTGCACTCGTACTCTGGTGCAGTGGCATTCGACGCGGTGTTCTGCTCCACCACAATCGTCATGGCCGAAACTCCGCCCAGAACAAGGGCCAATGCCAGCATCACGCCAATAATCTGTTTGGCCCTCGTCACTGTGATGATCTTTGAGAAGGGATGGCAAATGGCAAAGTAGCGGTCAAAAGCAATCCCGGAGATTAGGAGGGAGGAGAAGGGAATGAAGGAGTTGTTGATGACGTAGTAGAACTTGCACAAAAACTCCGATTGAATGCGCCACTCGACTGATTCAATGTAAATGGTTAGAGGCATGAGGCAGACGCACGCAAAGGAGTCCACCATCGCAAGAGCGAGAATGAAGACAGTGGATGTCATGCGATCGTGCTTTGTTGCGTAGATCACAATGACAATGGTGTTGCCGATACTGCCAATGCTGCAGAAAATGCCAAGCATTATCATTGTGGCGGGGATCTGCTCCCCCAATGTGCTTGTCATTAAGGTCATTCTGGTGATTTTAGGCTTTCTCTACAAAGAAAGAACAGATCCATTGTCCTCCATCTTTAAATAAATATGACATTGCTGATAGATTTGTAAGTAGGCTTTTTGGTTTCTGGATTGGTTTAATGCCTGTGGTCTAAGCAAATGTCGACCTATAAATGTGTAACCACTTATTACCTGACATTTCATTAGTGGCATTAAGTTATGAGGAAAACGATTATGGATAAACAGCTTTTTAACCATGCCACCGTTTTCCAGTGTCGCCAACTGCCTTCTCACCTGTTTACATCTCATCTGATTTATAAAATCAGAAAATCCGATTTCTCGTGTCTTCCTGTTATTTCACGGAACTCACCTTCAACTCACATCCTGTGGCTTTCAATCAACCAGAAGGAAATTTAGTTCTTTTGTTTCGACAACACCAAGACTCCAGCCACAACTTCCAGCCCTGTCCTCAATGTGGACATTTTGCAAAACTCTGCAAAACCCCCTACGTAAACTTGCATTATGCATCTGGTTTGCAAGATATTTGCTCACGAAGGTATTTAGTTTGCTGTCGTTAAGGCAAAACTTAGCCAACGCGTGACCACGTTAAAATATTACAATCAAATGAATTGCACAACTGAAGAACTTTGCCACACAGTAAGGCAGAAAATTCTTGATTAAGTTACTGAAAAGCCAAGAAATTGGTGTCAGCACTTCGGATTCCATAGTTGTTAAAATTGGGGTGCTAAGGGCAGGGTAACCACTTTACAGCAGCTAAAATGTGACATTTTACTTGCGCCAGCACTTATCTGATTTGTTGTCAGCATGTTTCCGCAATCACGTTATTAAGGTGAACGTTTTACTGAATTTAGAATGGTTTTTAAAGCATACACTTCACTAAATGTTCAAGCATGGCTTAAGACGGGGTTGCACTATTATCATTGCCCCATTGCCTGTAAAATGGCTTTTGAGAGCATTTTGAATACAAATTCACGTCACTTTTTGTTAAATCAATATGTCATATTCCAGCCATGCATGACTTTTGTATTTTCGTTGTTTTAAACAAATCAGGGCTGAGTCAGCACTACCTGGAAGACGAACACAGAAAAAAGTAACTAGCGTAAACACAGGAAGTTCTGGTTACCGATAGTTTTCTGAGCATGAAGCCTTTTTTCCCAAGTGTCTTTATCACGATAAAAGTCCTAGGAATGCTTTATGACTTCCAAATGCCTTGAAAATAATGAATAATTTACCCTATCAAGTAACTGCTGTATTAGCTTCCCAAATCATCATAAACATAACCTAAATAGTGAGGTTTAATAATGTAAAATGTTGATTGAAACGATAGTTCAAACGTGATGTTTTGCGTATTAATTTCACGGGTTAGTAAGTCGTGCTGAAGCGTGCCTTGTCAGCGTGAACGAAGACGCAAATGAGGACTGTCGTGTTTGTAAATGTGCAGGTTTGGTAACTGAAACAGCAAGATTTTGCCATATTCGTAGTAATATGGGCTTATTCATTTACAAAAACTGTCACCTAATTTCAAGATTCACAATGATTCTTAAGAACCTTGTGGTAAAGGCCTTAAGCTGGAAAGCTAGTACATTAATTATTTATCATCTACCGTCACAAATGTGGCGTTTACAATGTCGTTGAGAGATCTTTACAACTAAACAACCAAACTTGTTTGGTGGACACCTAATAAGAAGTCAACATAAATCCATGAAAACATTTTTGTGGTAAAGAGATGTAGTGGAGATATTTAAAAATCAACATAATGTAATCTCTTTAAGCCACATTAATTAATTTTGCAGGCTTCACTTATGTGATATCCACCTTGATTTCAAGGCTTCTAAACATTCGCCCTATTAGAACCCTTCATTTAAATTAATAAATTCGAACTAATAGTAGTTAGGGAATCTTTTAAACTGGTCGTGCCCAAGAAGGAATAAAACATGTTACGCCTGTCGCACTACTTTACTGCGAGTAAAAGTAAATGTGATCAAAGTTACACAATTGACAATTTCAATCTAACTTGCCTTTACGGTCGTTGACTAATCAGGTGACAACTACTTCCATTTTGCATTGGTTCTAAATACCCTTCACCAGGTTAAACCCGATTTTGACCTTTATATATGATCACTGGAAAACGGAGTATATGATTGGGTGCTTCTTGGCGAATAGGGAAATATTACGTCGCACAGCCCCGTCACTACCTCTTTCACCGTCATTGGTCCGTGCAGCGTAGTTGCATGTGCTGAATAAGCTCTGAATGAGCTTTGCAAGCGAACCATAAGTTGCTCTGGGCGATTTACTTCTCACATGAGCATCTCAGATTTCCACATGAGTAAACATGAAAACATTTGGAGTTTCAAAAGACCTGGTTCTTTTTAGCTGCCAGTATTGGAGAGTGGTTGTTACTTTTCAGAATATCTTCTCTGGCAAATCATTTTGAATAATTTTCAACATTATGAATGCACAGACAACAGGATTGGAATTTCGCGGGCTGCATTACATTCATTTAAAGTGATTATCGGAAAGTACATTGCGTTTACCTCTTCTAGAATCAACTTAATGTTACGCGGTTAATTGGAGTTAGTTAATACAATAACTTCGTTGTATTAACTGTGTATACTAATAATATTCCGTGTTTAGGTAATCGCTATAATTCGTCGGTTAGTATAACCTAATTTCACAGCTATGCTTTGGTTCTGCTAGCCTTGTTAAAGTACATACTTTTGTTATCATTTTTATGAAAAATGAACGTGATTTACCCACTCATTTTCCACTTTGTCGAATCACGTCTCCATTTTACTAGCAACGCCATGATTTCCCAGTCATAGAACTTCTGGCTCAAACCAACGAAAGCTGAATCAAGTGTGATTCCACGTCATTGACGTTTGTAAAGTATTTGTAATACAATTTTACTGAAACGACTCTTCTGCTATTCACCAGTTCATCCTGTATTACTTTGCCTCCCAAGCCAGGTTCTGTACATGTTTGAAGTTTACATCTGCACTAATCGTTTTTTTCTTGCTAGCAACTCAAATTAAACAACACACTAATCTTTTGAATGTAGTTTGTATTCCGGTGTATGTTGGCTCATCACGGTTCGATCAAGGTGGTGTTTCATTAATTTTGTTGCAGATGATCACATTGTTTTAAAATTTATCATTGCGTTTCAGCTGTATGTTGCTCTACCAAACTATTTTTAGGCAATGTTGATTGAGTAAGTAATTTGACTGTGCACTTTGTATAAACATAATCAGGAAAAGTTTTACAAAATAGACGCTCAGCACGATAAAATATTTTCAATAATTTCGGCAAGCAATCATTGGTTAGACCTGTCATTTATCACTTTAATCTGCCATTTGTAAAATAATTGATTGTACGCGAAAACATTGTTGCAGCAGACGGGGCGTCTTACAGTTGATAAAAATTCCTTTGGATAAAACCGTAGTTGGCATAAAATAGCTCTAAAAAACCCGCATACAGATTAAAGCAGAAACAAGCTGTTTTTGCAATACCTGGCAGTCATAAATGACGTCGGTTTTTGCTCGCCTAATTGCTGTACAAGTCTCTTGGTAGTCAATAGTCTGAACAACGCGAATTCGCATTAGACGTCGGTCGTTCTTTCTTCTAATGTTTGCAGTTAGTACTGACGATGATCAAATTCACACACCCTTTCTAAGCCAGGGATTATTTTAAATTGATTTTCGAGTAGTTTGTACAAACCAGAAAGTATGGGTTCACTTCATGGAAGACATTGTCTCGAGAATTTACCTGATTTTGCCTGAAAATGTGCTTCAGAGGTTTATCGGACCAAAAGTGTTGACCCAGAATTTGCGTTCTGCGTTGGTAATTGAGCTTTGGGTTCTGAGGTCAATTGGCACTTGAAGTCCAGGGTCAAAGCCCTGTGGTTAGACATGATCTGCTATTATTGTTATTAAAAGAGGTTTAAGGCTTCAGTGATTAATGAAAATTAATAACTTGAAAATAGCCCTTATTCTACTGTTTACGTTATTGGTGGATTGAAAGAATAAAACCGTTTTGAACTGAACACTGAAGTTCTAAGTGTCTAGCAATTATTCTATAGAAATTATTGGTGATGAGTTTGGCAAAAGAATCTGTCTAATTTATTCTTATCAAAATTGCAAAAAAGCAATATGTAGGAATCAAAGATTTGGGGGTGATCGTTCTACTGTTGCAAGTCAAATAATCAGTTACTTGGGCCGCAAAATTTGTCCTGAATATATTGCTCGTCTCTGGATTTTGGATGCGTTCTCACACATAAGTATAAGGGGTATCACTTGAAGGGTATTGTTATGGGCACTGTGGTTTCGCAAATGTGATATCTCACGCTTGACCGCGACCTGAGTTCACTCACCCCGCCAATCCCCTGCTTGACTCTGCGTCTCCGCTCTGGATGAACTCCAATGTTAGTCGAATACTCCCTCCCACGTTTCAACTAACCCCGCTGTTATTCTAGGTTAACACTTGCCATGAGCCACGTTCTTCAGCCACAAAACCTACAAATAAGCAGGAATAGCCACGGCTCAAACTCACGTCCATTCAGCGACCCAATAAACGGTTGCGACTCCATCGTCTTCAGTACTTGCTGTAGCACTGGACCGCAGCAGCAACACTCAATCAGTTGCTCCGATGTGGCTACGAAACCCACAATGAAGTCCTCTTCAACAAAGTTATTCCAATCAAAGCTTCGTTCCAATTTTGCTTCTCTCTAGCTGCCTCTAATTCGAGGCTGGACCTTGATGAGTTAAATGGACATGAAATGCAATCGTCCGTGGCTAAGTATTGTGGTGATTTCGTCGATTTCGATGGAGAAGGTGAAATGGATCACCTTCAACATCACACATAGATAACAGCAAAATTCAGATACCAGAATTTCTTCTACTCAACAAATTTGCCAATAGAATTCAAGAAAGCAGGTGTAATATCACTGAATCAGAAAGAGCTCTAGCGCATTTAGCTGCTATGGCGTGATTTGGGTGATAAAAAAA